AATTAACTCAATTTGTTTGAAATATGCAATAACTCCTAATACTTATGTAAAAGATACTAACTTAATTTAGTTGTAGCTTTATATGTATACTAAATACAAATTAAGGCTTTAAAGAATAGTAGTAAGAATTTCAACTTTGTTTAAAATGTTTTAGATGTTTTCCATATCGTAGTACTAAAATCCTCTTTTAGTACGTACCTTTCTTTTATTACGTGCATTGTTATAAAAGAATTGTAATTAGGAACAATACTTTTCTAATTCAAGTAGGATCAACGTTGTAGGGTCGGGTATATGTATAGTTTAGATCGAAAAAGAATTCTATCATTAGGTAATTTACCATTAGATCCTTAAATTATACAAATATTTAAGGGCATAAAAGTCGATCAATGTTTTAGGGATATTTTAGTCGTTCAATATTTAGCATAAATTATTCGTGCTTTTATAACAACTAGTTACTATGTACGTGCGTTGCACGTAAATCTTTAGTCACAATTTTTTTCGTGAAAGAACAACTAACTAAATTTATTAAAAAATTATTTATAAGATGAAATGATCATTTTAAAGTAATTAACATAATTAAAATACAATAATCATTTAGATGCTAAAAAATTTATGTTATTATATTAACAGAGTACTTGAATTCAAAATGATATCGTCTTTACGTACAAAGATGATCAATTTAGTTAAATTAGAAAGTATCTTATTTATATTATATAAATATTCAGTGGGGTAGAATCATATCTAATACTTCGTTATAGAGGACATTTATTGTGTATGTTTCCTTCTATAACTTTGGCTTCTCCCTCTTAAAAGTGAAACATATAGTTGTCCTCTTTGAATTACCTCCAAAAAGTATTACTTTTTCACTACTGTACTTCGACATATTTTTTAGGGTTGTCTAAATTATTTATAAGTTATATGTCGAATTTAAATTATGTCGTATATAATCCGAATAAAATTATTACCGTTTTATCGTATTCAAAACAATAAAATATTTATCATACACATATTCTAATAACCAAGTACATGTTAAAGATTTTAGAGAAATATTTATTTTAACCACTCTAAAAAATATTAGCAAATATATTTTTTTGTATATATGTATATTATATATAGTATTATACATATTTATATACTTTTTGGCTAGCTAACGCAATTATTTTTGGCATAGTGATCATCTTTATATTTTGCCTTGGATTCATTATATACTCCATGGTTATTTAATAACTTGCAAAGTCTCGATTTTTTTACATTTGTCCACTCAAAATAATCATCTCGCTCCTCAAATATAACAAAAATAATAGTCACAATTATGCAAGAAAATAATTATATGTGACACCTATTAAGATGATTTTTTTAACATATAGCATAACATTGTTGAGAAGTCTTTTCACAAATTTTTCAACATATGTAAGAGTAATAAAATATATGATAATCACATAATTGCATCGAGTTTACACCTTTTTACTTTGAAATATTATTGAAATCACGAAGAAGTATAAGGTAATTTTGAAATTCGTTCCACGTCGTTTGAGTTAAAATAATTTTAAAACTTTTGGATAAACCTCCACTATTTAGATATATACTATCGAGAATAATCAAGAATTACGTGGACATGGAGAGTAGATACATTTAAAAGAATTATATTACTCCAATGCTCTAAAAATAACATTTGTACTCCTCAACAAATCAGTACCTTAAAAATAAATATTTATTATATAGAATAAGGTAAACATGAAAAAGATAGATAGATTGACAAAAAAAACTTAAATTCATAAACCCAATATCTTCAAAACTATTCATAAAAATAAAATCAATACCTTATATTATTCAAACAACCTATTGGTTTGGAAAGTTTCAGTTGATTTTCACATTCTATATGAATATATTTTTGCCTGATCCAATCATTGTGTTTCAGTTACTTTAAATTATTTTTAACCAATCATCACGCATACTACATTCAAAATAATATTCTAAAGTATTTTGCTTTTTAGTTGAATATAACTTGATGTAATTTTGAATTGGAGACAATTCATGGCACATGAGGATCTAATGAATATAAACCAATCAAAGAAATTTTTTGTTAAACTTCAACATATAGGAGACTTAGACGTACTTGTTCTAGAAAACCTAATCTGACATTCATCGATTTTCTTTAAGAAATCTATAAAGGAATTGATTACTCATATTGAAGTAAAAATAAAAATATTAAAGAGCACGATCTCATCTGTATTATTAGAACCACTTTATTATCATGTAAAAGAAAAATATTCATATAAACATGCCCCTATATTTTTTTATCCTTTAAAATTAGTTTTTAATATTAAAAAGTTATTATTTAGTTATTTTCTTTTTATTTAATATTTTAAAAATTAATTCAAAGTATTTGAATTATGTAGTAACTGTTAGGAACACAAAACATATCATAAAATATCCTAACTTAATTTAGTTTTAGCTTTATATAAACTAATACAAAGAATTTTTCTTGCACCAAAAAAAAAACAAAGAATTTTACACTTTGTTCAAAATGTTATGAATGTTTTTAGAGCGTAGTACTAAAATTTCCTTCTAGAACGTGCCTATAAGGAATTGTAATTAGGAACAATAATTCTAGTTCAAGTAGGATCAACGTTGTAAGGACTGGCATATGTGTAGTTTAAATTAAAAAAAAATTCTATTATTAGATATTTTACCATTAGATCCTTAAATTATATAAATATTTAAGGGCATAAAAGTCGATCAATGTTTCGAGGATATTTTAGTCGTTCAACAATTAGAATAAATTATTCGTGCTTTTATAATATATATATATATATATATATATATATATATATATATATATATATATATATATATATAATAGATAGGTAGATAGATAGATATAGATATATTGATTAAATACTATTTTTCATATTTCTTTTCAGCCCAACCGTTTAAAAAATCAGTAACACCCATTTAAACCTTGAATCAACCCGCTCCATGACCCGATATACTTTCTCTTATTTCTATTACAAAAAAAAAAAATATTAGTACTTTGTTGTACCATATCATCTGGTACTCAATATAGTTATATTTAATGTATACATTGATCTAAGCAAAGTATTAAATAGAGAATAAGAAATGAATCTAACAAACTAGAGGAGTTTTTTAAAATACAATTTACGCCATTTGGAGGCGTAGTCCTTATGTTGCTCACCAAAAAAAATTACAGCATAACAGAGGAGGACATCAACCTAGTCTTTGTTCAATAAAAAAAACCCCTGTAATAATGATCAGGGTCATATACAAGTACAAAGATCCATAATCTAAGTTATAAATACTCCTATGATCCTATACAAGATTAGTACCCTTGTACATCCAATTTATCCAAGACAAGCCTGTGCCAAAAATAAAAAACTTATGATAACATGTTCCTCCTTTGCTTATGCCTTATTGAAGCCATTTGAGCCTTATCCATCAAATAGTGTCCAGCGGCACACCTAGGCAGATCTCTAGGATTGAGGAAAATGGGTTCATTCTCCTCAATGTCTCATTTAACAAGAGCATCTGCTACTTGATTAGCGTCACGGAAACAATGTTGGATCTCAAAATTCACATGTTGAAGTAGTTGTTTAGTATCCAAAAATTATATCGTGCAGTTGCCACACTAAGCTTGTGTTCCCTTTAATCATATTTGTTTGCTCAAAAGTTATCGCATATCTCATGAGTATAAAACAATATAAGTAAATCACGGGAAAATCATAGCAAACCGTAATAATCCATTGGACCAAATGAAGGAAACGAAAATAAGTGCTCAGCTTTGGGAAGAGAAATATAAAAGCTTTTATTCATAATAGTGCTTTGGTCTGCCTCTCCATGAAGAGGTTCAGAACCTTACAATGGTCTTCCTCTTGCCCATAATATGGGTCTCGTTATCTCTTTTTTCTCTTGTCAATAGTGAAGAAGAAGAAGCCCCCTTTTCTAGGGTTTTCTCTCTTGGTATTTATAGCTGTGAGCTTCGTGAGCTGGCAATAAGTGGCCGTGACCACGTTGGGATTTCGCCTTCATGGTGGCGGATGGGCCATGGCCTTGCTGATCGAATCAGATGCGGGTTGAATATCGTTAATTCTGAGTGGTCGTGCCACTTAATTAATCATGAATTAGCTTAAGACGGGATTAGCTTCGTTAATTATTGTGGGGTCGGATTCTGACCCATACAGTTAGTCCCTCCGCTTATTGAGGTCGGGCCTTGGCCGAGCTCGATGAGTGGATTCCATCGACTGTAGTTTGAGAAACTCGGATGGGGAGGTCGACTGTTGCTTCGGTCGAGGCCGAATTCTCTTTGGCGATGGCCCTTAGCCTTGTAGAGTATTAGTATTCTGTTATTGTGCTATCAAGTCATCGTTCGATCGAGGTCGAACTCTCCTCCTTGGCGAAGGCGCTTGACCTTTTAACTTACTTCGAGTGAGGTCGAGCTTCATTGTGCTATGATCCTTACGTTTGTTTTGGGTGCATACCCGTCGACCATGGCGGACGGGTCGTATATTGTGCGGCCGAGGGGAGTGAGGGCACGCTTGATACGTGTTTGGCGATGTCAAAAAATTTCTAGGGCGCAAGGAGCATCTCCTCGGCATTCATAGGTCGTTATAACCATTTCGAGGGCGAGACGCCGATTGGTGATTGCAAGGCTGCTTTATGGAGCCTGTCATAATGACGCACATTCCTATGGAATCGAACCGGTGTGCGGTTGGTCATGTAGTTAATGGTGGCTGTTGGGGTACATGAAGGCCACTTGTGTTGCCTATAAATAAAGGCTGAGGCATTCATTTTTTATATTCTCATGTTTGTCTGAGAGAGATCCTGAAGAAGCTTTTCTTACTGCTGTTTCACCTTCGTCTTCGTCCCCCAAACTTTGTTTCTTTCTCGTTATTGTATCAACAATGGCAGGCATTTCTTCCCAAAACGTTCTTCCGACGGATCTTCCGGTTAACTCACCGGTGATCGAGGAGCCATTTCCGGCAATGGGCGATGCAGAACTGGTGGAGACCGGTGAGGCTCCGTCGGTTGACGAGATAGTACCTCTGCCCGGAGGTCCGATTATTGATTTCACCGCCGATGGTGGGGAGGATCAGGTGGATGAATCCCCATTACCGGGAAAGATTGGGATGTCCCGACTACGGGGACAGGGGGTCATCCCCAGCTATGCTGACGTCGTTCTCGCTAGAAGCGAGGAGAGGGTCCACACCGATCGTAGGGGATACTGCATCTTTTACGCCTATCCCTTCAAGTTGGGGTTTAAGCTCCCGCTCCCAATGCTGGTGGTTGATTTCTGTCGTTATTACGGGGTGTGCCCGGGTCAGCTTGCTCCTTCTCTTTACAAATTGCTAGCTATGTTTATCAAATATGCAGAACTGGCCGGTAGGGAGGTCACGCTGCAGCATGTGCTTAGTCTCTACGCTCCCCAGAGGGTCCGCGGTACCATGATTCAAGCGTGCCCTCGTGGGTCGAGGGGCCTGACTGCAAAACTGGATGACGAGGTCGACCCTCGCCCTTTTGAGCACTTCTTCTACATCAGGACTGAACATTTAGTGGCGTGCTCTGCTGGGTTCCCAGAGGCTTGGAATCATGCACGTAAGTTCTTTTGTCGTCGAATTCTTTTTTCTACCCCTACTTACGTCTTGTGCTCGTAAGCGTTAACTCGTGTCAATTTTGTAGCCGAAAAATCGTCGCCGGCTCCGTTAGCTGGGATACGCGGATGGGTCGAGGTCGTGCTCCCCCATACGGTGGGGATACGCACATGGGCGTCTTTCTGGGAGAAGCATGGCCGTAGGCCTGCGGCAGGTAAAAAATTGATTTCTTCTGTTCCGCTTTGTTTCAACTCTATTCATCAACTTTGTTTTTCTGTGATCAGGGAGGGCACGCCGCGTCAGGGCCCCTCAGTTGGCCTTCCGTCGGCCGGGTGCAATCGCTCGACTTACTGCAGCGCCGGTGTCGCGCCCAATACCGAGGGCGGCATCAGTTGAATCTTCAGCGGTTCCTTCTCCAGCACGGGCCGCACTTCGGGATGAGAGGCCATCAGGGGTTGTGCGCCCTAGAGCGGATTCGCCATTAGATGGGGAGGAGGAAAGGCCATTGATAAGGCGTAGGGTCGTGTTCACGCCGGCTCCTCCTGCGGTAATTAATTTGGACTCCCCCCCGGCGGATGCGGAGCGGAGTGTGGCTGCGGCGCCTGACCTTGAGGGTGGACATGCAATGGGGGTTGCCCCGATTGCCTTATGCCATGATGATGCCGTCGCTTCGGCGACTCAATTGGTGGTTCCAGTCGCTGAGACGGGAGGTAGTTCCTCAGCGGCTGCTAATGTTGGTGAGGCAAGCGCTCCTTCGGTGGCTACAGCGGGTGGTTCTACCTCGCTGGTGGCGGAAGGGGGAAGGGATGCTGTAGAAGATGAGTACGAGTCCAAATCCGACTTGGACCCCGACGACGTCTGTATGTTCCGGGAAGGCTTCACCAATTCAGTGGTGCGCGCAGGGGGGCGATCTCGCTTCATCGAGGTTCCCACGGAGTTGAACTTATTGCTCCAAGGGGAAAGCTTGGTGCCGTAGTTCGAGCTGCTATGCTCGGAGGCCGAGAATGCGTCGTTGAGGGGCATTACGGATATCGGACTGATGAATGAAGTGGCCGTGATGGGCTTGAGGGTATGTACTATTACGTCGGTTCGCTTCTTCTTTGCCTTAGTTTGTTCTTTATCTTAATCGTTGTCTTTGCTTTGCAGTCTTATTTGTTGGAGGTGGAGAGCATCCGTCGAGCCAAGGTCCACTCGGGGATATTTTGCGGGCGCTGGAGAAGTATCGCCGCTACCGAGATCAGTGCCGAGAGTTACGCGTGCGCTTGAGGAATGATCCCCATAGCCGGGCCTTGGTCGAGGAACTGGCGAGGCGGGAGCTTCAGATGCAGCAAACACTTGGCAGAACGAGTGCTCTCGAGGAGCAGCTCCGCCGGAAGGATGAGGAGCTCGAGGCGGTAAAGAGGGCCGCAGCTGAGTGTGAGCGCCAGGGCCAGGCTAAGGCGGCGGAGGCCGCTGCGGCATGGGGCGGGAAAGTGACTGCGTTGGAGGGTGAAGTCGCGGTATTGAAGCTTCAGGTGAGGGATGCCTCGTCGAGGGCTGGGGCGTTGACGGAAGCTATCCGCGTGCACGAGTCCCAACGGGCGTTGGAGAGGGCTACTGCGGCCTTTAGAGAAGCGAGTCTCGAGGAGCGGATCGGTGTCTTTGAGCAGGACGCCCAAGTCATGGCGGACCAGATCACAGCCTTAGAAGAAGAGAATCAGCGCCTACAGGACCAAGCCGCTTCTTCCAGCCAGGCTCGCGAACTTTGGGTCTTTGCCGAGGCCCAACGTGATGTATATAAGAATTTGTGGGAGGCCGGCATCGTGACCGAAGCTGCTTTCGAGGGAGCGCATCATAAGGCTCGTGAGGCCCGTACCGACTGTGGGTTTGACGCGGCGACGCCAGAGGCTGACGCTGGTGCGGATGGTGGCGCGGATGGCGCCGAGTAAAAAGATATGCATTTTTCTTGTTTTTCTTTTCTCTTTCCTTGTATTGATCGGCCTTGGCCGGGTGTAAGAGGGGAAGACCCGCAATTAACTTTGTAGATAAATGATATCTCCTTTCCGTTATTTGCCTTGTGTCTGTTTTGTACCTCCTCTTTTTCCCCCTTAGATTTTTCTTTGCATGCGCTCGAAGGGGTGATTTGCCTTCGAGTTCGACTTTGGTAGGCATGTTAATTTTTAATTGTTGACGACTCTTCTTCTTCGACTCGGGGTGAACGAGTCGGAGCCGTTGCTTGGCGATAGCGGCACTTAGCCTTAGTCCCAGTTCGGGCGCGGTCGAACTGTCGGCCGTGATGACAGAAACGCGGCCTTGTAGTTTGACCGGGGCCAGACTTTACGTGTCCCCAATCTTAGTTTGAGTTGGGAGTACTTACTTGAAGGGCGAGGGTGCCTGACCTGTGCCTCGATTCGTTGGAGGTTGGGTTTCGCTGAGTTCAATGATGACGGCGCTTGGTCCGAGTCCTGGTTCAACTGTGGTTGAACTTGTTAGATTTGAGGACGAATGCGTCTAGCCTTATGGTTCAAGCGAGGTCGAACTCGTTGGATTTGATGGCGAAGGCGCGTGGCCTGAGTCTTGGTTCGACCGTAGCTAAACTTACTAGCGAAGGCGCATGGGCTTGATTTTATGGCGAAGGCGGGTAGCCTGAGTCGTGGTTCAACTGTATTTGAACTTCTTGGCGAAGGCGCATAGCCCGAGTCATGGTTCGACTGTATTTGAACTTCTTGGCGAAGGGGCATAGCCTTGATTTAATGGCGAAGGCACATAGCATGAGTCCCAGTTCAACTGTTGTTGGACTTAGTCGATTTTGATGGCGAAGGCTCATGGCCTGAGTCCCAGTTCAAATGTTGTTGAACTTTGTCAATTTTGACGGCGAAGGCGCATAGCCTGAGTCATGGTTCAACCGTATTTGAACTTATTGGCGAAGGCGCATAGCCTTGATTTAATGACGAAGGCGCTTAGCCTGAGTCTTGGTTCAACCGTAGTTGAACTTGGTCGATTTTGATGGCGAAGGCGCATAGCCTGAGTCATGGTTCAACCGTATTTGAACTTATTGGCGAAGGCGCATAGCCTTGATTTAATGACGAAGGCGCTTAGCCTGAGTCTTGGTTCAACCGTAGTTGAACTTACTAGCGAAGGTGCATAGCCTGAGTCTTGGTTCAACCGTATTTGAACTTATTGGCGAAGGCGCATAGCCTTGATTTAATGACGAAGGCGCTTAGCCTGAGTCTTGGTTCAACCGTAGTTGAACTTACTGGCGAAGGCGCATAGCCTGAATCTTGGTTCAACCGTAGTTGAACTTACTGGCGAAGGCGCATAGCCTGAGTCTTGGTTCAATCGTAGTTGAACTTACTGGCGAAGGCGCATAGCCTTGATTTCATGGCGAAGGCGCATAGCCTGAGTCTTGGTTCAACCGTAGTTGAACTTACTGGTGAAGGCGCATAGCCTTGATTTCATGGCGAAGGAGCATAGCCTGAGTCTTGGTTCAACTGTAGTTGAACTTACTGGCGAAGGCGCATAGCCTGAGTCTTGGTTCAACCGTAGTTGAACTTACTGGCGAAGGCGCATAGCCTTGATTTCATGGCGAAGGCGCATAGCCTGAGTCCTAGTTCAACTATTGTTGAACTTGGTCGATTTTGCTGGCGAAGGCGCATAGCCTGAGTCTTGGTTCAATCGTAGTTGAACTTACTGGCGAAGGCGCATAGCCTTGATTTAATGGCGAAGGCACGTAGCCTGAGTCTTGGTTCAACCGTAGTTGAACTTACTGGCGAAGGCGCATAGCCTAGACTTAATGGCGAAGGCGCATAGCCTAGACTTAATGGTGAAGGTGCATAGCCTGAGTCTTGGTTCAACCGTAGTTGAACTTACTGGCGAAGGCGCGTAGCCTGAATCTTGGTTCAACCGTAGTTGAACTTACTGGCGAAGGCGCATAGCCTGATTCTTGGTTCAACCGTAGTTGAACTTACTGGCGAAGGCGCATAGCCTGAATCCCAGTTCAACTGTTGTTGAACTTTGTCAATTTTTGATGGTGAAGGCGCGTAGCCCGAGTCCCAGTTCAACTGTTGTTGAACTTGGTCGATTTTGATGGCGAAGGCGCGTAGCCTGAGTCCCAGTTCAACTGTTGAACTTGGTCGATCTTGATGGCGAAGGCTCATGGCCTGAGTCCCATATTGTGGGTATTGAGTGCTGAAGCTCGGTTTGGATTCGAGACCTTGAGCGGCTTATCCGTTGTCTTCCCAACCAGGGTATATAGGCTGTCTTGAGGCGACTCTCGGCTCGAGATATCTCCGTGCCGATTTCTGACCGGAGCTCGTATCAGGGATGTGGGAGATGCCTTACAGAGACCTTCCCTTAGGAGGGGGGGGGGGGCTTTTTCTTTTTGTTTGCACTATCTGAGATTGGAGAGAGAGAGAACTTAGATCTTGATTTGAGATCTTCGAGTTCCCCTTCGAGTTTGGCGTTTCTTTCCTTTTGGTCCAAGGAAGAACTACGCGATTTTGCTAGGAAATCCCCACAGACGTCGCCAAATTATTTGCTCAAAAGTTATCGCATATCTCATGAGTATAAAACAATATAAGTAAATCACGGGAAAATCATAGCAAACCGTAATAATCCATTGGACCAAATGAAGGAAACGAAAATAAGTGCTCAGGATTAGGGGGAGAAACATTAGAAGCCTTTTATTGATAATATTGGTTTGGTCTGCCTCTCCATGAAGAGGTTCAGAGCCTTACAATGGTGTTCCTCTTGCCCATAATTTGGGTATCGTTGTCTCTTTTTTCTCTCTCCATAGTGGTGAAGAAGANCAATGGTCTTCCTCTTGCCCATATATGGGTCTCGTTATCNCGTTTTTTCTCTTGTCAATAGTGAAGAAGAAGAAGCCCCCTTTTCTAGGGTTTCCTCTCTTGGTATTTATAGCTGTGAGCTTCGTGAGCTGGCAATAAGTGGCCGTGACCACGTTGGGATTTCGCCTTCATGGTGGCGGATGGGCCATGGCCTTGCTGATCGAATCAGATGCGGGTTGAATATCGTTAATTTTGAGTGGTCGTGCCACTTAATTAATCATGAATTAGCTTAAGACGGAATTAGCTTCGTTAATTATCGTGGGGTCGGATTCTGACCCATACAATATTGATTATGTTTTGAAAACTCCGTGAAATACACTGCTTCACCCCCAGCTATGCTGCCTTTGCCTACGCCAAATTGCTACTGCCCCTTCCTATATTATATGCAAAAGCCAAGATCAAATTGCCTTTAGAGTCTCTAATAATACCTCCAGCCCCCATAACCCCTTCCCCATTCCGACTTCCATCAGTATTTATTTTCACCCAATTTCAATCTTATGGGAGAGTGAAAGAACTTGATCACAAATGCCAAACCAGTGCCCACGCCACTCCTTGCTGCAATGGGTGTTTAGATATGGACCATCTTAAATGGTTCAAAATTTGATACTTTACTCTAGCTCTTGAAATTCTAGTATCTCCATACCTTAATGCACATCTTGACTTCAAAATTTGAATCACCAATACGATTACTCAAAATATGATGCAATTGGTCAAACTATCATTTGCCATCCACAGTAATATCGCTTACAGGTTGTCCTCTTGGTGTGTTCTCATAGGAGATAATCTGAGCTATCACCCCCATTCCTGTCCAATTATCCCACCAAAGGCTTGAGTTGCCAGCATTAATCTTCCTCAGTAAGTTCTTTTCAACTTTCTCCTTTATTTATCGGATAATTGATTGAAAACTAAGATGGAAGCACCTAGCTTGTAAAATTAAGTCTTCTTTGTATGCAAATATGGAGAATGGATAGCATGTCCCAGCTGAGGTGTGCATCAGAGTCCTCAACTTTAATTTTAGCCTAACAAGAAGTGAATCAATGCATTCTTTCGCAAACAGATACTCCGAACAATGACATTTCTGCGTCGCAACTAAGCAAATACTTATAATTCAATAAAGGATTACTTTTAACATGCGATAGGCTGATAGCAATTACCAGGTTGGTTATCATTTTTTACCAGATTATCAATTAGAGTGATCTTTATCAATTGTTTTCTCTAATGAGTGACATGATTACGTAAATATTATTTAAATTTATCGGAGTATAGAACTTAAACGAGTTATATGCAGAGAATATTCACACAATCATCTTTTAAAAGGTAATTGCATATAACTCTATTTAATAAGCATTAATTGGTAACCTAGAATAAATTATAAATAAGCTGCTATAATATGTTAATTATATTGATGATGCAAAAAATATTATGACACTGTTAGCGTATATAACTTGAATCCTACAAGTATATATAAGTTAAACTTGTAAAAATCTTTTACAATACTAGGTTCAAAATCAATTACACGTAACTATTTACTGCAAAAATGGACTGGCGGCAAGTAAAAATTGATAAGTCAATTGTTATAGCAAGTAAAACAACATTGATAGTAGTATCTAAGTTATATGTTAACCTTTAAAAAAAAAGAAAATTCAGAGAATTTGTATCTAAGACAATTTATTTTCTTTTATATCACGAATCGCTTATGTTCCCATCCCAACCTTTTTACCTTATCTACTATAAGCTATTCCGTGTACAACACTGAAAACCAAAAATAATTTGACAAAAAAGGGCAGCCCGATGCACTACGCTCCCGTTATATGTATGCAGGGAAGGACGGGACCTCAAGGGTCTATTGCACGCAATCTACCCTGTATTTCTGCAAGAGACTATTTTCACGGCTCGAATCCTGACCTCCTAGTCACATGTCAACAACTTTATCAATTATTGAGTTTAGTATAATTTATGCATGAATTTGTGCATAGGAAATGAACAAATTATGCTGCAGGAAGAGTACGTAGAAGAAGCTAACTTGTGGGCAAAGACTGCATCAAAAGGCCTTTTTCACTGAAATTCTAAGGACCAAGCACCTGAACGAATTTACAGCGGTCAATTTTGCAAATGCCTTATATTTTAAAGGTACATGGGAAGATAATTTTGATGAATATCGCACCATAAACAAAGACTTTCACCAACTCAACGGTGACAAATTTTCAGTACCATTCATGACTGGCTGCGGCAAATTTCTTTATGGATCATATGAAGGTTATCAAGTTGCTAAAATTTGATATGGAATTGGAGAAGACAATAAAGAGTTCTCTATGTTTATTTTCCTTCCAGATGAAAAAGATGGATTGCCTAGTCTATTGACAAAAGTGAATTCTAATCCAAAATTCTTTACCCAAAAGTTCAGGCTATGGAAGGAAAAACTTGATGCATTCTACATTCCAAAGCTCAAATTCCCATACACTGCTATGGATGAAGTGATAGAAACAATGAAGGAAATGGGATTGACTCTGCCTTTTGACGAAGAATTCAGAGAGATAACTGAGATTGTGGAAGCTAAAGGGTCATTCTTTATCAACAGGATATTACAAAAAGCATTTGTCGAAATAAATGAGAAGGGTACTGAAGCAGCAGCTGTTACTTTTGAGTCATATGATGACTTGGGATTTTCATTGGAGGATTTAAGTTTCGTAGCAAATCACCCTTTCTTATTCATGATAAGGGAAAAGGTTTCAAGATCGGTGATATTCACTGGAGCTGTATTAAATCCTTTGAGTGACACTATAACATAAAGCTTTTATAGCTACGAAATCTTAGCTACGAATTTAAAAATCATGACAAATACCTAACAATAGCCACAAAAAATAGAATTTCCTGGCTATTTACAGATTTGTGAAATTTACTAGCCACGAAAATTAAATTGGTAAAGCTAATTCCTTATTTTTGCTATAATTACTAACAATCATAGCAATAATTTCCTAAATAGCTACAAATTTGTTGCTACAATAGAATTGCGTAGCTGATTCATACGTTTTAGCCACGCATTTAAAGTTATTGTAGCAATAATAACCTTTTAGCCATAATAAATTATTTGAAATAAAATATTGTAGCTAAAGAAATACATTTGCTTCAAGTTATAAAAAAAAATGTGGCAATAGGCAAAGTATATAGCCACGAATTTATTGTTATAACAAAATATTGTAGCTAATTGTTAATTTTGCTACAAACTGAAAGCTATTGTGGCAAAAATAACATTTTAACCACAATAAATTATTTAAAATAAAATATTTATAGCTTTTTTGCTTCAAGTTCTAAAATATGACCGCAATAATTGGCTTAATAGCTATAATTATTTTTCATTACAGGCTGATTTAGCCACAAATTTATTGCTCTAATAAAATTTCGTAGCTAATTATTAGCTTTTGCCACAAGTTGAAACTTGCTATAGTAGTATAACTTAAAAGGCCTATAAAATTATTCAAAACAAAATCTTGTAGCTAATGAGTATTTTTGCTTCAAACTAGAAAGAAAATGAAAATAGTTGGCTTAGAAAAATGAAAATGGTTGCCATGACAAAAATGATTTGAATATTTTTGCTTGATTATGAAAAGCATGACAAGTGTTGTCTAACACTATTAGGTAATAAAATATTAATGTCAAATGTAGCAGTTGTATTTTTCTTATAAGATAGAAAAATAGTAATTGTATATGATTAAGGAAGAAAATAGTAATTGTATATGAGATTAAATAATTATTTGAAATGAAAAATTAATCTTCATTCTCAAATAATATATCATTTGTTTACCTGCTTATAGCAGCAAAACTTATCAATTGACTTTTTAGACTTATCAAACTCATATTTTAGTTTATTGCAGTTGTTGTTAATTATATATTTTTGTGCAAAATTTAAATTATTATTAATACTTGTGAATATTTATGTATGTCATATACTCTATTACTTTTAAATAAGTGTACCTATTTATTTCAAAAAAGTATTCATATTGATGATTTTAATTGTTGTAGTGATATTTATGTATATGGTCCTTAATAATTTCTAAATCACTTAATCATATATGTACTAAGAATTAATTTTTAAATAAGTGCTCATAGAATGAAGAGCTTTGTTGGGGGGAGGGTTGGTACATTTAGTTTTGATAAATGACCAAAGGCTCCAATTATATACAAGAAACATATTTAGCACTACAAGAAATAATAATAATCTTAATGAAAAACGACATTTCGTAGCTACATAATCACGGATTTATAATTAATTTATGGTTTCATCACTAATTAAAAAATTTATATTGAAATAATAAATTTTCCAATGAAAAATAAAATTTATTGCTAATTTTGCCCTAATATATGATGCCAAATTAAATTTAAAAACATGATCTTTACCGATAACATTATTATTTGTAAGAGTTATATAATTTTTAATATCTAGTTATAGTAAGATATCTAAGTCCATACAAAAATTAATTATATTTTTTTATTCTGGTTAAATCAGTATTAGTTGTAAGTTCTAATTTCATTAAAAATATTGAATTATATCTAATTAAGGCGTGAATAATTAACTACTGAGAATAAAAATATTATATATATTTATTCTAGACGATAAAATACGTTATGATAAGGTTTTTGCAATCTTAATAATTATCATAAAAGAAATTATATGTCGAATCTAAAAATTAAAATTTTAATATCATTCTTATACATGAAAGAGATCTTATTTTTCTCGTGAGTATTATTTGTATTTAAAAATAGTTACATATTTTTATTATTATTATGCTTATTCTTGAGTATTTTGTATTTAAAAATAGTTATAGACTTTCACTATTATTAAGTTATTTTTGTAAAATATTTAAGAATTTAATATGATGATATAGGGGTGTATAACAAAACAAGCTAGTATACAGTAATAATTTATTTTCTGGTAAATAATAAATATCATAATTCATATTAAACAAAGTATTACTTTAAAGTTTCAAAACTAATAGAAATAAGTATATAATTATAGTTAGTTAAACTTAAATATTATATATTAGATATAAATAATTGTGTGATTCTATCTACATTGATTATTAGTTATATTCAATTTAGATAAGTATAAAAGTTATTGATTTAATAATCTAATACTATTTTAATAACTTAATAATGATCATAAACCTATCTTAACACTAAAAATTATGAAGCTAATATTATTGAAATGTGAACATATAATAAAACTAACAATTTCATATAAGATGAAGAAGCTATAAAGAAAAATATATTTTAGAATATCTTTATTTCATGCGAATAGCTAATACTTTTTATTTTACTTAAATTTTATATATTTATTCTATTGTTTATATGTAATTTTCTTATTTTTATTTGAATTTATGGTATTTAATGTATTTGTGTTAAGAAGTAAATAAGGCAAAATATATAAGAAAACCTCCAAACCAAAACCTAAACCTCCAAACCAAAACCTAAACTTCTCCTCTACCTCAGACGCCACTCTCCTTCTCCTTTCTTATTAAGAAGTAAACCATTTTTTTATTCCTTTCTTCCACACTAGGCGACGTTAATTTAAAACTGCAAGAAAGACAAAGAGGAGTAAGAGGGTATTCCCACTGCTTTTCATTTATGCACAAAAATTTTAATTTGTTGGTTTGTCTCTTCCATATCGTAGGGTTTTTAAATCTTCTTACACCTGCTTGGGTTTGGAGTTTTAAGTTCAATTTACGAGTTATTCCAGTAATTTGATAGGTATTATGCCTTATTTGTTATAAGAAGTGAGTGCGATTTTGAAGATTGACAGGTTTTGTCCCTTATACTTAATTGACTTGAGTTTCTGCTTCAATTGTTTGTTTTTTATTTATAGGGTGCTCAAGAGAAAAGTGCCTTTGAAAAATTTCAATCTCTTCTAATGTCAAACTGTAAGTTTTACTTCTTTTTTTAATCTCCTTAAGTTTTATGATATTTGTTTAAATGCTTTTTCTTTTGTCGTCTGTGTTGGAAAAAAGCTTACATCTTTTTTCACTTTTTTTCACTTGATTCATGGCTAAAAATTTTTCTTATTCCATAATTTATTGAATTTTTTTAATTACTAACTGTAAATGCATCTAAATCGGTATATATTTTGATAATTCAAATATAAGTTTCTCACAATAATATGTTATTTCATTATTTCAGTATAGTGATTACGGAGAGTGCTTCATTATTTTCTTGGCTAAGTTTTATCTTATTCCATAATTTATTGAATTTTTTTAATTACTAACTGTAAGTGCATCTAAATCGGTATATATTTGGATAATTCAAATATAAGTTTCTCACAAGATCATGTTATTTTATTATTTCAGTATAGTGATTACAGAGAGTGCTTCATTATTCTTGGATGCATGAAGATCAAGGCTGCTATGAGGGTGGCAGCATGAATCATCAAGCAAATACTTATGTTCATTTAATGTGAAATTTTGTATATTATGTCTGATCTCTGTCACAATCAAGCCTCACATTGGCTAGTTCTTTACTTCAAATTTTAGTATTGTAGAAGACTTCTCTATTGCAGATGCTATGAATTTATTAGTACAAATGTGTATTTTGGAATTTATTTTGTGACATTTTTTTAAATGCCAATTTGCGTAGAATAAGTTATTTCTCAAGCTTAATATGTTAGTATTTTTAATATATTATGCACGGCCACAAAATAATCGGAAAATTTTAGAAAAAAAATCAAATAGCTAAAAAATAGGGGATTTGTGAGAGAAACTTTTGTCACTATAATAAATTAATTTTTTTTGTAAAAAAATTAAAATATAATAAAATAATCTAACCACGAATATTTTGTATGATTTGTAGCCATGAAACTTTTAGTATGTAGCTAAACAAAAATATCTTTGCCACATGCTACTATATGAAAGCAGTTACATATCTAAATTTTCGTGGCAAATAAATTTAAATTTTTTGCCATGCTATAACACTTTGTGGCTACCACATAAAGATAGCTAAAGATTTTTTTTGTCGTGGAAAGAGTATAAAATCATTTGCTATAAATGTTTTTATCGTGGCAAAAGTATAAAATTATTGCTATATATATATCTACAATACAAAAATTTCGTACCAATAAGTATTAATCCTTAGCCACGGACCATGTAAAGTCTGTAGCTAACTTTTAGCTACGCTACATTTTGCTACGGAAAAAAATATTGTAGCTAAAGTGTTTAGCCACGAAAATTTTCATAATTAGCTACGTTGTATTTTGTAGCTATAAATGCATCATGTTGTAGTGTGAATCAAATGATTCAGATGACTAAGTACGAAAGAGGCATGGGAGTTTTTGTGTGTGTCTGTGTGAGATTGGCTATTTGTAGAGGCGGATCCAGGATTTAAAGTTTATGGGTTCTAATAGCGACCTTAAGTAAATATACAATAAATTACATGGGTTCAAAATAAAAAATTATGGATATTTAGTGAATTTTTTAAACATATATATAGGGTATGTGCAAAAGCTACTGAGTTTACGGAAACCCACATGTAATAGGCTGTATCTGCCCCTGGCTATTTGTATAAAAACTTTGACGGTCTCCTATTAGTAAAGCCTTGTTACTGAGGGACGTTCGGATCACTAAAAGGTGGATATTTGGTAGTGATATTAGTGTTAAAACACAGTCATTCTATCTTGTTTATCGTCCAATTTTACTGTTAACATGTCACTACCTTTATACTACCCACACACTATGAAAGGGATCACTTGGTTTTGTGTCCCATTACAAACTTAATTTTATGACCATCCATCATAAAAGACGATAAT